GAGAGAGAGAGAGAGAGAGAGATGGCACACAACCGATCCAGATGCCACGCAGACAACGTGCAGAACGGTCAGATGTGTCTGAATTGTGTGCAAAACACGTCCATATTTTCACACATCTTTTACAAGGGTCGCTGCAACCTGCACCCAAGCCTGCGCCGTTTCGGACTACCGCTAATCTTCTCTTTATCTGAACACGCTGTACACAACTCCTCTCCCCTCCCCCCCCCCCCCCCCCCCCCCGGTAAAAAAGCATGACTGTACCACCATGTGTGTGTGTGTGTGTGTGTGTGTGTGTACATGTATGTGTATGTGTGTGTACGTGTATGTGTGTGCTCGCAAGAGAGAGGGAGGGAGGGAGAGAGAGAGAGAGAGAGAACATTGCGCACCCTCTCATCAAGACTTTATCGGAGCGGAAAAATGGTTTGTATACGTTCGTAATCAGCGTGCGTTATGTTCGGGGCAAGACGTTAGCAATTGTTTCATTGATCGCTTAATTGAAGGCGTCGACCACTCGCTTGATTGCTCTTCGCTTGATTTCTCTTCTTTTGATTGGTCGCTTGCACTTGCTTGCTTGCTCTCTCGATTGCTGGTCGCTTGAGTGTTGCCTTGATTGCTGGCTTGATTGCTGGCTTCATTGCCTGCTTGATTGCATGTTGGATTGCTCGCTTGATTGCTCGCTTGTTGATTGCTTGCTTGATTGCTCGCTTGTTGATTGCTTGCTTGATTGCTCACGTATTTTGCTTGATTCATTGCTCCCTTGTTAATTGCTCGTTTGATTGGTTACCTTACAAACACCCTGGTTCGCTTGTTGAGGACACATAACAAGAAATTCAGGAACAAGTAATTAAAAAAAACAACCGAGGTTAACACGCGAAGTTTATGAGGACACATATCAAAACACGCGGAGCTAACGACGACAATGTCAAAACACGAGGCCTTAACACGCGGGGTTAACCGGGATAGATATAAAAAACACGCACAGTTAACCAGGGCATATATCAAGAAAGACGGAGATATACACATGCAAATACGTACAGAGGCCGTAGGCGCGCGAGTCGCTAATCAGTTGATCTTGCACATATCTGCACTCGGAAAAAAAACGGGCGGCCATACTGAGTAGAGATAAGAGGGAGAGAAAGCACACAGAGAGCGGCACGATGCCCTTCCCGCCACGATATGTAGTAGGAGAATAGAAGAAGATCGTTCCCGCCCCTCAGGCATAGGTAGAGGCGGGAAAAA